AAATTTGGTAAGTGAAGAACTAGTTTAAGCCAGATGACTGCAGTGACTCCGACAGTATTTTAATAAGATGACATACTCATTTTAACACAGCCTTTATTTTCTGTTTGAAAACAAAATTTCCAGGAAACAAAATACAATGGTTGGGTATAAAGGAAATAAAAATCACAGTTTCAAATAACCAAAATAGACAATTGCTGAAAGGCAGATCACTTGGTTTACAAAAAAAAAAAAAAAAAAAAAAAAAAGTTAAGGTCAAGGATTAAAATGAAATTTAACAACATTCTATATAACGCTACATTCCCCAATTAAGAAAAGAGAGTTCAGCCCTGGCCGGTGTGGCTCAGTTGGTTGGAGCATTGTCCTGTACACTAACAGGTGGTAGGTTGGATTCCGGGTCAGGTTCAATCTCCGGTTGGGGAGTGTACTGGAGGCAACCGATCGATGTTCTTCTCTCTCTCTCTCTCTCTCTCTCTCTCTCTCTCTCTCTCTCTCTCTCTCTCCCCCTTCCTCTCTCTTAAAGAAAATTAATGAAAAAAAATTCACATATACAACTAAATGTTAAATGTAGAGATGTGACTGAAAGTCTGTATGCTTCATAGTAAATTATGCATGAAAGTTTATTAGTTGCATAAACTTCCTGAGTGGCTCCCATGCTGATCTAGGTCTACATGCTTAATATTCATATCAAACAAAGCTTTAGGTGATTGAGCATGGCAGACCTTGAACAACTGCACTTTCTGATCAGTCACCATTCCTGCTGAAGGTATGTTCTGGACCACAAACCGCAATCTGAAATCTTAAAATGTAGTGAAAAAGGAAATGCAACTAAAAAAAAAAAAAAAAAAAACCAACCACAAACAAACAAACTGGAAGGATGGCAAGCACACAATTAGGAATTTATTTTACACTGGCACTTTTTTCCTCTCAAGAGCCCAGTTTCTCTCTTCCCTTCTTGCTTGACGTTCAGCCTTTTGGACTTTTTAAAAAGGAACAGAAAACCTTCCAGAATGAGAGCCGGTGGTGTGTACACTCTGGTAGCGATCTCAGTTAAAAATAACTCCAGTGTAACCCAGTCACTATCCCAGGCCCCCTGCCTAAGTCGGCTGTCAAGTCTTGACCAATGTTCGTGTTCATCCTTCACATGTAAAACTATCTCCGGGGTGACCTGAAAGCATTTGGCTCCATTAAAGTTTCATGCTAATTTCACTTCAAAGGATTTGAGCAAGTTTGACTGTTGCCATTTTATAGTCTTTTTTTGTTTTTTGTTAAAATGTCAATCCCAGAAATTACATTTACCAAATCAATTAATTGTCTTTTCTATGCCCCTCCCCCCTTTCCGGTTCATCGGGTGGGGAAACAGGTCGCCAATGAACAGAATGAAATGTGAACAGTCTACAGATGAAGAAACACAATCCCAAACGGATGGCACATATGCCTCAGGAATGTACCTGTGCACGGAGCCTGAAAGACAGTGTTTGTTACCATGACATATGCTGTCGTGTTGCACGCGGTGAACATGTGGAGCAGGGTCCAGGCGGCTTACAAACATTCGCTGAGTCTTTTTTGGGAAAAAGGAATGCATCATCTTCATCACTTGGAAAAGACAGCAGAGAGAGTCGATGTCTCCAATAAACTTCAGCGATTGGACCAAGTTCTCACCAATTACAATGTAAGTGAAAGCTTACAGCCGATTCTGGATAACAAAACATCGCTGCAAATGATCTTGCAGATGCTAATATGCTGAGTGACAGGCTGCCGCTGGAGGACTTGTCAAGCTCTTTCTCTGTGGTAGTTAGTTAAACCAGTTTCACCCATAGACCTTTGGGAACACAGATAAGAAATGCATGTCTGATGAAAGACACAAAGCTACAGGCACTGAACTGTCTCATTGGGGTGCTTGCTTATCATTTGCTCCTTTGACAGCTAATTCCTACAACGAATTCTGATATTGCCACAAGCTGGATTTCTTTATCTGCTCCCCTCCCACAACCCCCAAAGCTTATTTCAGAGATGCGTGTGGCTCTCGCCACTTAAACACAGATCGGTGGCATCACAAACTCAGAGTTAATGCTGGGACAAAGAGGCAGGCTAGGTTAGTAACCTGAAAGAATACTGAGAATCAAGGCAAAAAAAAAAAAAAAAAAAAGCAAGTTTCACAGGCAGTGTTTACTCGTGCACCCCCAAACAGCACTGAAAACGAGGTAGATTAACAAAAGCAACTGGGCTGGAATTAAACCTGGGGTTCTCAAATGATACATCCCATCATACTCTCCACTCAAAACACTCAACGCTCAGTCTCAACATCGCAGCGGGGAAAGTGCCTTTTAAACTTCCACAGATAATTTTGCTGTCAAACCATGAGAATTCATGCTCGCTATAAAAACTGGCAAGAAGGGGATGAGAAACAGGATGGAGATTGGTTATATTACAGCAAATTACCTTAAACAGAGCTTCAAGACTGCTACAGATATATAGAGGGTAATTTTCCATTAGATTTACACCAATACTGGCTTCATGTTCTGAAGATGTTACGCCTGACTTCACACACATAGCAGCAGGTAATTCACGAAGAGATGCTCACATTAGCACGTGTGGAGGTACAGTACTATTCGTCAGACTTGCACTTGGAGAAGTAAACATGGCGGCTGGACAGACAGACTATCTCCCAACAGACGTCATAAGCTGATGACATAATACAACCCTTTTCTCCACGAGAAGGAAAATGAAGGGGACAGTTTGTTTTGGGGAAGTGGGTAGAAGGCCCTTGTGATACATACAGTAGGCTCTTGGTTAAGAAAGAAGGGAGCTTCTGAGCTTTACCTCAAGAATTAACTATTTCTGGGTTGGAAAAGTACCTCAGCAAGGATGCAAACAGCACTATCATGTGATTTAGCAAAAAGTTAGGAAATAATGCAAAACCCCTATATATAAAACTAGCCAATATGTACAGTCAAAGTGACTCTAAGCTGGATCAAACATTTAAGTAATGGGAAAAAATAAATAAAAAACCCCACAGTGACGCGAATAACACTGTTTTCTTCATTTCTGCACAAAGTCACTGTTTTTTTTTTTAAAACTTGCACACACGTTACATATACACAATGTATACATAACATATATGTGAACCCAACCACTGCAGTCAGCATGGACGCGGCAGTACACTAGTCACCATCTTCAAACTTTAGAAGACTACTTTTCTTTCCAGCAAAAAATCTGAAAAGATCCTAAACACTACAAGGCACTGCAAAAGTCTGCAGGCAAACAAATGATGAATCGAACATGAAACAGAGGTGGCGGCCAAAGGTGGGGCATGTGATTACCGGGGTAATTGTGCATGTCCACGGAGCTTTTCCATCTTGGGGTAGGTACACTGTTGAAAAGGGTTGTGGCTGGAGCCCTGGCTGGTGTGGCTCAGTGGTTGGACCGTTGTCCTGGACACTGCAAGGTGGCAGATTCGAGTCTGGATGAGGGCACGTACCCGGGTTCCATCTGCAGTCAGGGAGCATACAGGAGGCAGCCCATAGATGTCTCTCCTACTCTCTCTTCCTCCAAAAATTAAAAAGTAAAAAAAAAAAAAAAAAGAAGATTTTGACTAGAGGAGAAGGGACCTTAAAACCAGTATTTTCACTTTCTGGGTCAGCGATCGCTAACCAGAGAGGTCTGAAAGCTTGGCGACCGCTGTTATAGGTTCTAAGTCTCAGTGTAATCACACAAATCCGAATCTTTTAATGCAACACGAGCGTTGTGAAAGAATTCCAGATTTCAGGCACGTTGTTTTTATAGAGGTGGTAAACACTGCGGTGCAAGCATTTGCATCCCACTACCGTCCTACAATCACTTCAACTCGCAGAGCAATACTGCATGAGGAATTTGAAGAATGCGTCCCTAAGATTAAGATTTAGGAAGACTCATCCAAACTAGCATGTTATAGGCAAGGAAACTTTGGCTCTTACCAATAGCAATTCTCAAAATGCTCCCCTCCCTGCCAGAGACAGAATCTTCACCATGGCGAGGGCAATCCTCGGGCAGGCAGTATAAGACAGAGGTCTTTTTAGAAGGGGCACTGAATGTCACAAAGTAAACGGTGCAAAAAACAAAACACAAAAAAACAAAACTACACCCATTAACTTTGCTTCATTACCTGGCAGGCTCATGGGCTAAGGTTTGCAGTGGAATATGGAAGAAGATCTATCTGTTCACGGAAATAGTGGGTGAGAATTTGGAATGTTTCCCGGCAGGCCGAACTTGTTCTGAAGGTAAACGTGCACTAGGAACCACCTTGAACTTGGCAAGGGTGAAAGGTATTTTCAACGTGTCTATGTGGCGGTCCGTAAATATCGTTTACGGATTTGCCCCGGGTTTCAGTAGGTAACTGTGCCCGGCCTTTTCAGATAATAACAGTGAACCTTTGAGAACCAAAAGGGTATGTTTTGACATGCCTTCCCTCCTCCTCCGACTGGATAAACCCAGTAAAGTGCAACTTGACAGTGACCTCTCGCAGATTCTAAAGAGGTTGCGAAAATAATCTAAGCTCTAAAAAACAGGCTACGGAGACTAGAAATTATAACAACTAAAAAAAAAAAAAGGCAATAAAAAAAAGCTAAGGGCAATTAAATAGTATACTTCAAGGGCCTACTAGTTCACTGCAGGACAGCATATACCCCACATCTCTCAGAACCCTGGAAAGCCAGTGTTTCGCGTGTAAGTCTTGAAACCTACAAAACCTACTGTGTCAAGTACATTTCACTTCCGAAGAACGGGTCAGAGAGGTGTGACTTGAATCCCCTTGCCTGGGAATCCAAAGATTCCCCCCCGAGGTTCAGATCAGCTGAACTATATCCCTTGCGAAAGAATGCAAGCCAAACCCATGCCTCTCAGATGCTCAAAAACAACACGGTGTGCACGTGAGAAACAAGGAGACAGCTGCTTTGAATTACTATGGGAATCCTAAAACAGCTACATTATCTGCAGAATCAAGGAACTGTTACAGTTCTGTTTTCATCCTTTCTCTCCGCCTCACCTAGAACAAGGCTTCGCTCCTGCGAGCTGTGAAGACGGGAAGAAAAATCACATTAAAAAGGGCTTGTGTTCTACATGAGTCGACCAGAGGGATCCTAAGTTTATACACCAAAACATGTCCTGCAGCATTACCCTGCCTCCTGGGAGCGGTAAACCTAAGACAGACGTGTGAAGGATCCCACAGGACTGCGGCTGTCGGAGGATCTCACTTTGTCCACGTTGGGGGGGCGGGGGGGGGGGATAGCGATTTAAATAGTTTCTATACATCTTAAAGAAAAGGATCATCCAGCTGCGGGTGGCAGCAGTAAAAAAACAGAGGCTTCTCAGCAATTCATGGTGAGTGTCCTGGAAATGGTGACGCTCGAGGCGAGCTCCTTTAAAGCATTCTGAACAGTATTTTTAAAAAATCAAGTATCAAAGAGGATAGGATTTGAAGTGAAAAAACATGTCTGTGCGCAGTGTTCTATGTACAGACTGCACAGTCCTACAGGACGACGAGCTATGTCAAAGACTACATCGGAACCCCCCGGAAAATACAGTGGAGAGTAAACTCAAATGAGGAGATGGCAGAACCCAAGGAGAAGAAGGTTTTATAGCGTAGGGGGCCCGGGAACAATTCGGAAGAAAAGCTCCCCTTTCTTCGCTCGGCGTTTACGCTGATTCATTTGGGGCCAGGAGGGTTCGTGGAGGGGTTCTGCAGCGAGGACGATGGAAACATGGGCAAGTTGATTGCTGGCGGGAACGGCGGCCCTGGTGGGGCAGGGAGGACCACGGGCTGTGGAACTGGTCCTGGTCCGGGGATTCCTACCCACTGGACCGGGTACCCGGGCGCCCCCACGGCACTGTACTGACACACATGGGGCATTCCGTACGCTGGCAATGGCCCGGGGTACGTAGCGAGTGGGAGGCCTTGGGGTGAGGAGGTCGGGATGGCCGCCCGGATTTGGGGCAGAGAAGAGATCCATGTTGGCGTGAAGCTCAGAGTAGTTGGAGTAGTCTAACGAAAACAAAAAGGAAAACAAAAGATCAGTTTATTTGGCAGATGCGTTTGGCCACCGTTTTTACAGCACCGTTCTGTGTGCTGAGCACAGTTACATGCCTTTTCCATTTCATCTTCATAACTGCCCTGCGAGGCAGGCATTTGCAGATGTGGAAAAAGCAGCTCAAAATTGCTAACAGCTGACACGCTGAGCACATTCCTAGTGAGCTGAGGGTTCGAACAATGTTCCAGGTAACTGAGGGCCTGCGGAATCTCTGTTGGGTTTAGTGTCTCCTGTCCCCATGCTGGCATTCCTCTCCTCTTTTTATTTCCTCCTGCCAGTCCTGGGCATTCTCTTACTCAGCACCACACACGACAGCCCATCTTACTGTATTACATGATTCTCTGAGGACAGAGGAGCATGATTCGGATACAGTAGGTGCTCAATAAGTGTCATCTCCCTACCCCGTTTCCACTTACTGTCTTTAAATAAATTTCTGTTCTATTTTTGGAAATATCAACTCAAGACAATTATGCTTTTGGCAGTATTGAGAAAATATATTCCTGTCTGATTCTTCTTATCATATTGTATTGTGATTAAGCCTATGTATAAAGATTACTGAAATCTTATGCACATGGTGACTAGTAAGTCTAATGGAAGTGAATAATTCTCACTGAAACCGGTTTGGCTCAATGGATAGAGCGTCGGCCTGCAGACTAAAAGGACCCGGGTTTGATTCTGGTCAAGGGCATGTACCTTGGTTGCAGGTACATCCCCAGTAGGGGGTGTGCAAGAGGCAGCTGATCGATGCTTCTCTCTCATCGATGTTTCTAACTCTCTATCCCTCTCTCTTCCTCTCTGTAAAAAAAAATATCAATAAAATATATATATTTTAAAAATTCTCAAAGGCTCCGAAACCGGTTTGGCTCAGTGGTAGAGCGTCGGTCTGTGGACTGAAAGGTACCAGGTTCGATTCCGATCCAGGGCGTGTACATTGGTTGCGGGCACATCCCCAGTAGGGGGTGTGCAGGAGGCAGCTGGTCGATGTTTCTCTCTCATCGACGTTTTTAACTATCTCTCTCCCTTTCTCCTCTCTGTAAAATATCAATAAAATATATTTAAAAAAACAAAAAGAAAAAGAAATAGGTTACCTATTTCTGAAAGAAAAAAAAAAAATTCTCAAAGGAGAGATTAGTATCAGTCCCAAATGCTTAGTTCTTCTAAAATGAATGGTCAAGTTAAAACCATTTCAACTAAACTAAAAGTTTCAAGGTAAAGTTAGGGTCAAGTTTTTGAGCTTGACTCAAGAATAAATGACAATATCTCTTGAGGTGAAAAAACCCTCACACATGTGCTTAAGTTTCAGCAATCCCTTCTTCATATCAGTGTTTTTGTTCTGTTAAAGTAAAACTGAATTTAACACTTCTGATTCAGAAGAGCACATACAGTATGACTGCATTTTTTAAACATACGGTACACTAGAGGCCCAGTGCACAAAATTCATGCACTGGTAGCGTCTCTACGGCTGCTGGTTGGAGACTCCCTCCCTTCCCCCAGCCGGCCCCACCCCCTGGTCAAATTCCTGGACAAGTCCAGGTCGACAATTTGCATACTACACTGTCATTATATAGGATTTCCATGTATCCATATACAGACATAGAAAGATACCTGAAATGGTGTTTATCTAAAGCTAGTGACAATTATATCTGGGTGGTGGGATTTGAAGGCAGTATTTTAAATTTTGTAGTTTTCCACATTGATTAAATTATATAACAAGCATTTTATAAACAATAATGTGACTTTTATTTTTAAAATATATTTTATTGGCTCTTTCCGCCATCGGTCTGTGCCGCCACAGTGGTGCGCATGAATGTCCTGGCTGATGCTCTGAAGAGTATCAACAATGCCGAAAAGCGAGGCAAACGCCAGGTCCTCATTAGGCCGTGCTCCAAAGTCATCGTCCGGTTTCTGACCGTGATGATGAAGCATGGTTACATTGGCGAATTTGAAATTATTGATGACCACAGAGCTGGGAAAATAGTTGTGAACCTCACAGGCAGGTTGAACAAGTGTGGAGTAATCAGCCCCAGATTTGATGTGCAACTCAAAGATCTAGAAAAATGGCAGAACAACTTGCTTCCATCCCGTCAGTTTGGTTTCATTGTACTGACAACCTCAGCGGGCATCATGGACCATGAAGAAGCAAGACGAAAACACACAGGAGGGAAAATCCTGGGATTCTTTTTCTAGGGATGTAATACATTTGTGAAATAAAATGCCTCACAGGAAAAAAAAAAAAAAATATATATATATATATATATATATATTTTATTGATTTTTTTAACAGAGAGAAAGAGAGAGAGAGAGAGAGAGAGCCAGAAACGTCGATGAGAGAGAAACATCGACCAGCCACCTCCCGCACACCCCCCTACCGGGGATGTGCCCGCAACCAAGGTACATGCCCCTGACCGGAATCAAACCTGGGACCTTTCAGTCCGCAGACCGACGCTCTACCACTGAGCCAAATCGGCTTCGGCTGACTTTTATTTTTAAAGGATTGAACTGGATACTTCAAAAGTATCTCAGGCCCTGGCCGGTATTGCTCAATGGTTAGTGTTGGCCTGTGCACCAAAGGGTCGCAGGTTGGATTCCCAATCAAGGGGACATAGCTGGGTTGTAGATTCGATCCCTGGCCCTAGTTGGGACACATGTGGAGGCAATTGATGGATATGTGTGTCTCACATCAATGTTTCTCTCTCTTCCCAATCCCTTCCATTCTCTACATATCAAACATGTGCCCTGACCAGGACCCCTAGGTGTACAGGATGACCCTCAAACCACTGAGCTACACTAGCCTGGGTTTTAATTCTTATAAGTAAAGAGAATTAGGTATAAACAACTTACTTCATGTACTTTGTTCCAGTTTTCAGTCTCTAATTTGTGTTGACTCTGTTTAAGTTGGTTTAAACTTGGCTTGATAAGAGAATTTCCAACCGTTTCCTTTGTCCAGTCATCTACCAATTTGTGTAAATCATCTGTGAACATCCCTTTTTTACTCGCTGGAGATTGCTGGCTCGATGCTGTATTACTCTCCACACCCAGTGGGTCTATAAGGAAAACCAGGGAGGCCATGAAAAGGAATTAGAACTGATACTCTGATTTGAACACCAATGCAATTGACAGAGTAAGTTTATCTGGGGTAGTTCTGGCTTAAAGCTGTTGTCCTGAAGTAATTACTAGCCATACTCCTTTCGTTCTCAAACGTTTCCTCTTGTCTGGATCGCAAATTATATGTTCACCTTAGGTATGAATCAAGTATAATAAACAGTAGTATCGCTTAAAAAATTAGCATCAACCCTAATCCTCAGAGAATACTTAGAGTTAAAAAACAATCACAGCCGAAACCGGTTTGGCTCAGGAAAACCTCCCTATCTTTTTTTTTTTTAATGTATTTTTATTGATTTCAGAGAGGAAGGGAGAAAGAGAGATAGAAACATCAAAGATGAGAATCATTGCCTCCTGCACCACCCCCCACCACTGAGGGAAAATCTCCCTTTTTGTTGTTGTTTTTTTTTTTTTTTTTTTTAAATATTTTATTGATTTTTTACAGAGAGGAAGGGAGAGAGACAGAGAGCTAGAAACGTCGATGAGAGAGAAACATCAACCAGCTGCCTCCTGCACACCCCCTACCGGGGATGTGCCCGCAACCAATGTACATGTCCTTGACTGGAATCAAACCCGGGACCTTTCAGTCCGCAGACCGACGGTCTACCAGTGAGCCAAACCGGTTTCGGCAAAAATCTCCCTGTTTTAAAGTTCATTGAGCCCTGGTTTGTTTGGCTCAGCAGATAGAGCATTGGCCCGCAAACTGAAGGGTCCTAGGTTCGATTCTGATCAAGGGCATGTACTTCGGTTGCAGGCCTGTTCCCATGCTACAATGTGTGGGAGGAAACTCATCCATGTTCCTCTTCCACATCGATGTTTCTCTCTCTCTCCGTCTCTCCCCCTCCCGTCCACTCTCTCTGAAAACCAATGGAAAAATATACTTGAGTGAGGATTAGCAAAAAATAAATAAAATAAAATAAAAAATAAAATAAAATAAAATAAAAAATAAAATAAAATAATAAAATAAAATAAAATAAATAAAATAAATAAAATAAAAAATAAAAAAATAAAAAATAAAAAAATAAAAAAAAAAAATAAAATAAAATAAATGAAATGAAATAAATAAAAAAAATAAAATAAAATAAAATAAATAAAAAAATAAAATAAATAACAAAAAATAAATAAAATAATAAAATAAAATAAAATAAAATAATAAAATGAAATAAAATAAAATCCGCTAATGAACACCCTTAATTCCATCTACACCCTCAATTCCACTTTGCCAACTTCTTTATTAGTTAAATAGAGACTGACCCTTAAAAAAAAGTACACCACTAGCTTGTTTTTCTCAGTGGGTAGTGTTGGCCCTCTAACCTAATGGTCATGGGTCTGATTGCGGTCAAGGGTACTTACCTCGGTTGCGGGCTGCATTCCCAGCCCTGGGCCGGGAGGGGGCTGGAGACAACCAATCTATGCGTCTCTCATGTTCATGTTCCTCGTTTTCTTTTTCCCTTTCTTCCAGGCTCTCTAAAAACCAATGGGAAAAATGCCAAGTGAGGATTAACAAAAACAAGTACATTTTCTAATATTCTCATAAATAATAAAGATCTTGTATCAGATAGAACATGACTATATTTTTAAGATTATCTTTGTTGGCAACAAACAACAAACTAAATGTAGATCAGTAGTTTCCATTAATTGCTAAAATTTCAAAAAGTACTTGGGGCCGAAACTGGTTTGGCTCAGTGGTAGAGCGTCGGTCTGCGGACTGAAAGGTCCTGGGTTCGATTCCGGTCAAGGGCATGTACCTTGGTTGCGGGCACATCCCCAGTAGGGGGTGTGCAAGAGGCAGCTGGCCGATGTTTCTCTCTCATCAATATTTCTAACTCTCTATGCCTCTTCCTTCCTCTCTGTAAAAAATCAATAAAATATATTAAAAATAAATAAATAAAAAATAAAAAGTACTTGGGGACTGAAATTGAGACTTCAGGTATTTATTTTCCAAATAAAAACATGAAATACATTCATCTGCTCTCCCAAATCTCTCATTTATCCTCATCATTATTTCATAAAAGAACACTGAACACATTGCCGAAACCGGTTTGGCTCAGCAGTAGAGCGTCGGTCTACAGACTGAGGGGTCCCAGGTTCGATTCCGGTCAGGGGCATGTACCTTGGTTGCGGGCACATCCCCGGTGGGGGGTGTGCAAGAGGCAGCTGGTTGATGATTCTCTCTCATCAACGTTTCTGGCTCTCTATCCCTCTCCCTTCTTCTCTATAAAAAAAATCAATAAAATATATTAAAAAAAAAAAAGAACACTGAACACCAAGAAAGGTAGAAAAGAATCTCAGAATGTGCACATTTTCAAATTATCTTAGTTGAATAAAAAATACACGGTCATTCTTTTTCTCATTTTGCTGATCATTGGCCCAGTTTTGAAAAACCACTTTTGGAGTCGGTGTACCTGGGGCAGCTGAATCACTGTCCACCTGGGTCAAGGACTGGGGGCGGCTTCGAAGTTTGCTTCTGAGCGATCTTGGCCGGCGCAGTGGGGATGCGGATGGCAGAGGAACCTCAGTTGGCTGGGGTTTGCCATCTCTGATTGCCTGGAGGCGATCATAGAGTTCCTGCAGCTCCTTATTCTGCTGGGTTTGGAGAGTTATCACCTCCCGAATATGCCTACATAAAAATGAGGCAGAGAGCGTTTGAATGGTGCTGGTTCCATACGGATGAGCTCAAAAATGTCACAACAGTACAAGTGAAGTTTAACAAGGAATTTAGATTAAGAATGTGGATATAGCCCTAGCTGGTGTGGCTCAGTGGATAGAGCGTTGGCCTGTGGACACAAGGGTCCCAGGTTTGATTCTGGTCAAGGGCATGCACCTTGGTTGCGGGCACATCCCCAGTAGGGGGTGTGCCGGAGGCAGCTCATTGATGTTTCTCTCTCATCCATGCTTCTGACTCTCCCTCTTCCTTCTTCTCTGTAAAAAATCAGCAAAATATATTTTTTTAAAAAAGAATGTGGATATACAGAATGTTTTCACAATTTTAAAATGGGAAATGTCTTCTTAAGTATACCATTAAACTAATCAGACATAAAGAAGAAAGGACAACAAACTGACAGGAATAAATTTCTAAAACTTCAATATAGTGAAAAACAGCAAAACAAAGTTGGAAAGTCACAGAGCATTGATAATATCAATTTTTTCTTTATTATACGATGCAGGTTTAAACAAGAAAAAAAGTTTCTGCATTATATAGAAAAGATTAATATTTAGAATATGTAAATAATTCCTAAAAATCAGTAAGAAAAAAAAGAAACTATCTTTTAGAAAAGAGGGAACGAATATGAAAAGGTGACTCCAAAGAAAAATAAATACAAGTAACCAATAAATGAGATGATGCACATCCTCACTTTTAGTTAAGATAATACAATTTTTAAAAAATGAATTCATCTGGAATAAAACTAAAAGGATCAATAATGTCCAGCCCAATGTTGTTAAGAAGTGGTAAAATAGGCACTTTCATATACTTTAGTTTGCTGCGCAAAATGGTATAGCCACTTTTGATAATAGCAATATCTATGGAATTTAAAATGGACATATCTTTTAACCCAGCAATTCTACTTTTAGGTATTGATCCTACAAAAACACTTGCATAACTGTATAACAAATAAGGATGTTCACTTCAAGCAAAACACGGGATAAAACGGAAATGTCCATTAAGGAGAGATTCAATAAACTTTCAATGGTGACAAGCTATTTCAGTGTATGGAATACAGATTATTTGTGCAAACATGAATATACATAGGTGACAGAGTTAAGTGAAAATTGCAGCATGTGTATCATATAACACTTGTCAAAAGCAAAAACTTATGTATTTGTAAATGAAACAGGTCGCAGTGGTTGAGAAATTATATTAGGGCGTGAGAAATAGGAGATGGATTTTTGTGATTTCCTAACTGATAAGAGCAATGGGAGAATCGTTTGTTGTATATTTGGTCTTGTATCTTCAAGTAGTTCCAGAATTATAAAGGTGGTGTCTAGGTCAATCAAGTGACGTGTAAAATTCCCAGGGGAACCAGCTGAGTGATGACAGGATGAGGATTTTTAGCTCCTCCCCCGAACCTCTGATGAGTGGTGCGGCTGGGGATTAAATTAATCACCAATGGTTAATGATTCACTCAGTCACACCTCTCTCGATGAAGATTCCATAAAAATTTCTGTATTAAAGGTCCGGAGAGTTTCCAGGTTGGTCGGAGTGGCACTCAAGAGTGTGCATGGAAGTTCCGTGTTCCTTCCCCCAGACCTTGCCATTTGGCTGTTCTTGAGTTGCATCCTTTGGAGGAAACCTCCAGCTTAGAACAGGCTAGTCAGAAGCATAGGTAACACCACCTGGACTTGTGATTGGCATGGGGGCGGGGGGGGGGCAGTCATGTAGGACTGAGTTCATAACCAGTGGGATCTGATGCTTTCAATCATAAAAAAAGTTTTCAACCATTACAATGTCATCAGTCCTGCCCGGCTGGTGTGGCTCACTGGTTGAGCGTTGACCTATGAACCAGGAATTCATGGTTCAATTCCTAGTCAGGGCACATGCCCGGATTGTGGGCTCAGTCCCCAGTGTGGGGCATGCAGGAAGCAGCAGATCAATGTCCCACTCTCACATCGATGTACATCCATCCATACATACAGATAGATAGATATAGATATATTTAAAATGCCATCAGTCCTAAATTAGTTAGCAACCTAACAGTTCTATAAAACCCAGGGCACCCTAGCTGGTTTGTTCCAGTGGATACAGATACAGTGTCAGCCTGCGACTGAAGGGTACCGGTGTGATTTCAGTCAGGGCACATGCCTGGGTTGTGGGCTCAATCCCCGTTGGGGGTGTGCAGGAGGCAGCTGATCTATGATTCATCAATGATGCTGCTATCTCTTTCTCCCGCTCCCTTCCTTCCTCTCTGAAGTCAATAAAAAAATATATTTTTAAACAAACACACGCACCAAAGCTAAACCCAGGGTAACTAGCTAGGGGACAAAAGAGAAACAGTTCTTACTTTTCTCGTAATTTCTGAAGCTCCACCTTCAAGTCCTCGTCCTCCAGTTCGGACTCATTGTCGCTGCTCATCGGGGAAGAGGGTGAGTAGAAGAGCGAGCTCCCGGTCTGAGCACGGGCTTGGGCTTTTCCTTCCCGCCGTAGGCTCTGATCGCTGCTCCCCGGATTACTCCCCGCCGGGGAGTGCCCTCTGCCAGGCAGGGCGGCTGCCAATCCGGCAGAGCACCGCTGTTTCTCAGCAGCGAGCCTCTCTCTCCCTTTGGGCCGCAGTTGGGAGCCAGACTGCAGGCTACTTCCCGTGGCCGAGCTTCCTTCCAGCTCCTTCTCCGATGAACTGTCTCCCGGTTTGGGGACTGGTTTACCCTTCTGGAAGGTTCCATGAAGAGCTTCTAGGCTCTGGGGAGAGAATGCAGTCTCGGGACTGCGCGTGGCGGGCTCTACTCCTACTACCTGCGCCCTGGCTGTCGCAGTGAAGGCTGGGGCTTCCCCGCTGGAATGGCTTGGCTTGTCGCTGAAGGCTGGGCGGTGTCTGACTCCGGTACCTGCCACTTTCTCCGACTGAGGGACTGTGATCACCTGAGGCACAAAAAGGCAAGAGTGGCTAAAGAGCAAACACACAGAGAAATTCAGGATCAACATGTGGCACAGACAAGCGGCTGCTCTGCTTGTGATGTGCACATTGATAATACCAAAGCTTTAACACCCCGTGCAGCTCCCCATATTGGGAGTCTTTCTATTTAATTTTGTTATTTGTTCATTTTAAAGAGACAAAGGGGGGTAGGAGAGATGGAAGGAAGAAGAGGGGGGGAGGGAGGGAGGGAAGGAGGGAGAGTGAGAGAATCATTGTTCCACTTATTCATGCATTCATTGGTTGAGAGAGAGAGAGAGAGAGAGAGAGAGAGAGAGAGAAATACTGTTCCACTTATTCATGCATTCATTGGTAGAGAGAGAGAGAGAGAGAGAGAGAGAGAGAGAGAGGGAGAAAGAGAAAGAGGGAGAGAGAAATATTGTTCCACTTATTCATGCATTCATTGGTTGAGAGAGAGAGAGGGGGAGAGAGAGAGAGAGAGAGACATTGTTCCACTTATTCATGCATTCATTGGGGGAGATAGAGAGAGAGAAGGAGAGACATTGTTCCACTTGTTCATGCATTCATTGTAGGGGGGGGGGGGGAGAGAGAGAGAGAGAGAGAGAGAGAGAGAGAGAGAGAGAGAGAGACATTGTTCCACTTATTCATGCATTCATTGGTTGACTCTTGTGTGTGCTCTGACAGGGGATTGACCCTATAACCTCAGCGTATGGGAACAAGGCTCTAACCAACTGAGCTACCTACCCACCAGGGCTTCAAATACCTTCAACGGGTCCCCTTGGGATAAGAGCCTTGGCGTTGATTGCTCAAATAAAATTCCACAATTAAAAAAAGTCCATAATTAAAGATGCCAAGGTACTAAAAGACATGAAATGGGATTTATAAAAACAGGTGACCCAGCCTCCCACTGCTACAGAAGAACGGAGAAGAACCAAGCCACGCTTAGAGAGATGGAGTTACATTCATTATTATTATTCCTCGCAGGCCTAGAGAAAAATGTCTAGAATTCTGGGCGAAGTCACACAGGAAGTTTCCTGTTTTTATACCTTTTTACCCTCTCTCTCCCCCAAATATGGGGTTTTCCGGTCCCTTTGCAAGTTCTTAAAAAGCCCGTATATGTTGGGGCCTTGAGACCTCAACCAAAGGTTTGGCCTGGTGCCAGCACTGATAACGTCGTCTGGGGAAGGTTTAATGGCCTCTCTGAAATGGGAGTAGTCTTATTTTCCTTATTATTTAAGCAAGCAAGCATTTACCAAAGCCAAAATAGCAGGGTTATAATTTCAAACAGCAGTTTTTATATAAAATGAATGCTTCCTCACCACAAAATAATGATCCCTTGCTGTGTTCTCTTCCAGCTACTAAAGTCCATTTCCTTTTTTTTCTTTTAAGGATGCCATTCATTCCCTCATTCATTTTCCATCACTATTTATCCCCCCTATAGTAATCCCCATTGCTTTAGACGCCTTTACTGGATGGCTTCAAAAGGTGAAGGGATGCAAATTAAATATGACAATGATCTACACCAGCGGTTGGCAAACCCCGGCTCATGAGCCACATGCGGCTCTTTGGCCCCTTGAGTGTCCTAACACCACTTCTTCAAAATAGACTCGCCCAGGCCGAAAACCGACTTCTGCGTATGGGCCATGAAGTTTCAATCCACTGTACGTGCGCGCTTGCGTGTGGTATTTTGTGGAAGAGCCACACTCAAGGGGCCAAAGAGCCGCATGTGGCTCGCGAGCCGGTTTGCCGACCACTGATCTACACCGTCTTCAACGCTGTGCCTGTTACAATGCATTGTAAATAAGGATTGAATCAAAAGCACAAACCTGGAAGCGGCCCCGCTGAAAGGGTCCACTCATCGATTTGCATCTACTCAAAGGCCTACTCTCAGCTGCAAACTCTCCTGTCAGAGGATTGGAACCAGGAGCAACTGTGGATATCATATCATCTGTTTCCACTGTGAGTTTCGCCAAGTTGTAAAGAGAGAAGAGAAAATTGGTTAAGGCTAAATTTGTTTGCATTACCAAAAATGAAGAAAAGCAGAAAAAAAAGCAAAAAAAAAAAAGCTTAACTCCGGCTAGACAATTAAAAAGTGTTGCCCTAACTCTCAACCAGACATTGCAAGCTTTATCCCGACTTAGTATCTATATGAAATGAAAAACTCTAAAATCAAATTACTTACAGAAGGAAAAAAATCAAATGGCGATGACATTAATGGGATGTGTCACATACATGGGCTACGTGGAAAAAAGTGGCAACATTTGGGTATGAGGAAAGAAAAACCGAAAACCGAACTGAAGGAAATGAAAAGTGATGTTACCTAGTCTAGGTCCCTGACTGTAAGCACACTACCTTGACGGACTTTTGATCTCTTGAAAAAGCTGGTTGACTGCCGTAGCCTGTATGCCCAGCTTTTTAATTTGCGAGTCCAGGATTTCTTGCTAATAGGATTTTTGAGACTAGGACAAGTAAAGCTTAGGCCAAAATATCCACCTCCTGTGTGCAGACGAGTGGCTCCACTGCTTGGCACGGCAGCAGGATGGGCCTCTGGATCCCCTGGAAGTGAGGCATCTGGGGACATCTCCTGATCGAGACAAAAATCAAAATGGTAAGGTGTAGCAGTTGGTTATACCATGGCAGTTTCATGTATGGACGAATCGGTAATCCTATCTAATAAAGAGGGAATATGCTAATTTACTGCCCCGTCCTCAAAGATGATGGCACCCACAGCCACAAGATGGCAGTGCATAGTCACCTCAGCCCTGCCAGGATGGCAGGCAGGCCTGGCTGCTCCGCATGCCTGCCTCCAGAGTCCCCCAGTCCCCTCAGCCCCCCAGCCGCCCAGCCGCCCAGGGCTGGTCTGAGGCTCAGGTAACCAGGGCTGGCCAAGGCTTGCACTGCTGGCAGTGGCAGCAGCAGATGTGTGATGGGGTAACGCCTTTCCCTGATCGCCAGGTCGCCTCCTGTCCCTGAGGGCTCCCGGACTCTGAGAGGGGGCAGGCCAGGCTGAGGGAACCCCCTCCAGTGCATGCACTGGGCCTCTAGTCAAAAACAAAAATGCCATGTCTACTTGCATTAATAGCACCATTTCAGACAGAACCTGAAGTATGCAACTTATGGAAGGAAGCCTTCCCCTTTCTTTAAAAATATTATTTAGACGTCAGACACTGGCAGAGCTCATTTGGTTAGAGTGTTGTCCCCATCCACCAAGGCTGTAGGTTCAATGCCAGGTCATGGCATATATAAAAAATCAACCAATTAATGCATAAATAAGGGGAACAAATGGCTGTCTCCCTCTCTCTCTCCCCCTTCCTGTCTAAAATCAGTAAATGAAAAATATATATTACTTAGACTTCAGATAAATAAAACAACAGAATATGAATCTCCTACCCTAGAATATTTTCCCTTATAGCAACTTTGAAAAATTGAAATTATTTCCTTTGTATGCACTAATTTACTAAAAAAGGTTACTAAAACCCTATAATTTTTTTCTTTTTAAGATTATCAAAATGTTTTAAAAATTATTTCAGAGAGGGAGAAACAGAAACTTCAATGATAAGAGAAAATCATCAATCAACTGCCTCCTGCACATCCCCTACTGGGGATCGAGCCCACAACCCAGGCATGTGCCCCGACCAGGAAACTAACTGTGACCTCCTGTTTCATAGGTTGATGCTCAACCACTGAGCCACACTGGCTGGGCAAAACCCTATATAGATTTTAAAATATATTTTATTGATTTTTTTCAGAGAGGAAGGGAGAGGGATAGAGAGCTAGAAACGTCGATGGGAGAGAAACATTGATCAGCTGCCTCCTGCACACCCCCCACTGGGGATGTGCCCACAACCAAGGTACATGCCCTTGACCAGAATCGAACCTGGGACCTTTCAGTCTGCAGACTGACGCTCTATCCACTGAGCAAAACCGGTCAGGGGAAAACCCTATATTCTTAAAGTGAACATTTTTATTTATGCTTATTCCCTAGACATGTAGATTTACAGGAAAATATTACCAAATCAATTTTTTTTACTTTATGTAAGCACACAGAAATTGACAATGGATCTCAAAATTACTTCAAATTCATGCTCTAAAAACTGTTAGCATAAGGCTGGCAATAAAATCACTCTTTCCTCTTCTTGACCTGCTATCCCTCTCCTAAAAAAAAGCTAGAGTTACCTGCTGTATTCTAAATCATCACTTTAAAAATAAGTTCCCTGTAATAATTAACACAAAAATTAATATATAATACACAATCAAAAATACTTTCGGAAACATGAGAATGGTCAATACCAATCTAGAAAGTTAAAGGAATCTTTAAAAGCTCAAGGAATGGGTTTCAGCATTTGTCTGAAGGAAGACAGCCTAAGTGGCACTAAGTCTATGGCCGTCCTGGGTAAGATTTAACACGTGGGGCAGGTTAGCAGTTTATTGGAAAGAAAATTCTAAACAATTAGTGTTAATTTTCCAAAATCTCATTTGGAATGGTAACAATACTACCTTCATGAAGAGGAAAAATAGCCCTAGCTGGTGTGGCTCAGTGGATAGAGCATTGGCCTGCAGTCTGAAGGGTCCCGGTTAGAGTTCTGGTCACGGCAATGCCCAGGTTGTGGGCTCAATCCCCAGTGCGGGGCGTGTAGGAGGCAGCCGATCAAGGATTCTCTCTCATCATTGATGTTTCTCTCTCTCTCTCTCTCCCTTCCTCTCTGAAATCAATAAAAATATATTTGTAAAAAAAGAGGAAAATATTCTCAGTAATATTATAACGTAGAAAGTGTTGCATTGGTCCCACTGAAATTCCAGACAAGATTTTTCATAAGTAATAAGTGGGTCAATGTGGTAAATCACATACACGTTCTAGCCTCCTTTACCAATCCACATTCTCAGCCACACAGGATAAACAGATGCAGACATATGCATATATAATCAGAGGAGGAAAAAGCAGCCCACGACATATGCAGGAACTGTTACAAAACGCTGCGAATTCGAGTGGCAGATATGGACAGTGGGAGAGTCCTGGCCGACCGAGATAATTAGCGGTTGGCTAGAACGCTGACAAAGTTCCACACGATCTGGCTTCTCTGCCTCTTCAGCATCACATCATAACACCCTCCCACGTGCTGGCTTTCTTTTGGTTCCTGAAACGGGTCTCCATCTGTGAATGCCACGGCCAAACGCAAATCCTTCCTTGACCACCTGAGTCATCCTGAGTCTTTCTCTCAGAGCCCTTTATTTTTATTTTATTTTTTACATTTTTATTAAATTATTATCTGTGTACATATTTTAACATTGGCCCCCCCCCCCGAGCCCTTTACTTTAATTATGTATCTTTTTAGGGCCCATTTTCCCCCACTAGGACGTGAATGGCACAGAAAGGGAGATCTTGGCTTACTCAGTGCTCGCTGAGTGGAAGAGTTAGCTGCTTGGGGTAGCAAAAAAGGAACAGCCAGGCAGATCTGGTCCTTCTCTCTCCACCTCCACAGCAGGCAAAAGACAGCGGGAGGCATCTGCTCCCAAATGGGTGGTAAGAGGAAAATGTGTGTGGCCCAGAGAGAGGTCAGCAGTGTAGGGAGGAGACAACATCCAGGAAAAGGGGAAGCTTGTCTTCAGGGCCACCCTCCAGGCCAGTGGGCACCAACCTTTCGGACCTCACGGACCAGCAGTGGTCCGTGGACCACCGGTTGGTGACTGCTGCTCTAGGCAGCAAAGAAACAAGGTGCAATCCAGTGCCAGGAAGCATGGCCCATGCCTACCTCCAACTTACTGGAGGCAGGCTACAATAATGATGCGTAGTATTTATGAGGGACCAACATGTTAAAGGGGAGAAAGAAAAGATGAGCACACAACTAAGAATCAATCACCAAACACTTATGGGAAATCAACACAATAAAAAAAACACTTAACAAACAGAAGAATAGCCAAGGAACTAGCATTAGTAACATAAAATAAGACTAATATCTTCAAAAGATGTGTGAATCTACAACATCTATAAGAAAAAACAGCCCTAACTGGTCTGGCTCAATGGATAGAGCGTTGGCCTGCGGACTCAAGGGTCCCAGGTTCAATTCTGGTCAAGGGCATGCACCTTGGTTGCGGGCACATACCCAGGAGGGAGTATGCAGGAGGCAGCTGATTGATGTTTCTCTTTCATCTATGTTTCTAACTCTCTATTCCTCTCCATTCCTCTCTGTAAAAAATCAATAAAATATATTTAACAAAAAGAAAAAAAGAAAAAACAATGACCTTCAATGACTAGAAATTAAAAACATAATCATCGACATTAAAAAATAGCTGAATAGGACATGGGAAACAGCTTAAAAATTGAGGAATTCTCCCAGTACAGAAAGCAAAGGCACAGAGATGAAAGTGTGAAATGAAAACTTAATAGATAAGAAAAACAGGAAATGAAAGAAAACTATCTCTATTCACAGATGATATGATCTTATATTCTAAATAGAAAATCCCAAATCACACACCCAAAGCTGTCAGAGCTAATAAACTCAGCAAACTTGTAGAATGTAACACCCAAAAAAACTAGTTCTATTTCTATACACTAGCAAGAAAAAAATCTTAAAAGTAAATTAAGAAAACAATTCCATTTGTAATAACAACAAAGAATTGCAAGTGGTGCTGGAACAACTGGATCTCCACATACAAAATACTGAAGCTGGCCGAAACCAGTTTGGCACAGTGGATAGAGTGTCGGCCTGCGGACTGAAAGGTCCCGGGTTCGATTCCGGTCAAGGGCATGTATGTGGGTTGCGGGCACATCCCCAGTGAGGGGTGTGCAGGAGGCAGCTGATCAATAGTTCTCTCTCATTGATGTTTCTGGCTCTCTATCCCTCTCCTTTCCTCTCTGTAAAAAAATCAATAAAATATATTTTTAAAAAAATACTGAAGCTGTACCTTTCTTAATACAATATATAAAAATTAACTCAAAATGATCCTACCGTATGTACTTAATCAAGTGTGAAGGAAAATAAAGACATATTTGGACATTAAAAAACATTATTATTTCAACATGGTATTGCTTTTTATAAAAAACAAAACATATTTCACGTATTCAAAAGTTCAGCCATTTAAACTATCCAGTTTAATGGTTTGTTTGTTTTTTGGGGGGCTCCCTGTAGGGGAATCAAACCCCGGTCTCCCACATGACAGGCATTTAGTGGGTCTTTAAAAACTGAATTTACCGGGGTGACATGGTTCACAAAACAATACAGGTTTCAAGTGTACAACTGGGCGAAACATCATCTCACACTGCATCGTGCTCCCATCACCCAAAAGACACACACACACACACACACACACACGTCTCTCATGCAACATATTTTAAAATATCAGTCATAGAAACATTTCAGGGAGGGTGGAATTTTAGGACACCAGAAACAATGGCAGGTAAGTTTGATCAAGATGAAGCAATGGGCACTTAAAAGAAGCCAAAGAATCCATTTGACAGTAACACTTGGAAGAAGTCTCCTTCAAACAACAAAGTATAAATGACAGAGAATTATATTTCATTTTTTTTATTTAAAAAAAAATATATATATATTATTGATTTTTTACAGAGAGGAAGAGAGAGGGATAGAGAGTTAGAAACATCGATGAGAGAGAATCATCGATCAGCCGCCTCCTGCACACTCCCCACTGGGTATTTGCCCACAACCAATGTACATGCCCTTGACCGGAATCGAACCCGGGAACCTTCAGTCCGGAGACCGACGCTCTAACCAGTTTTGGCTATATTTCATTTTTTATAGTCCTAATCACGTTATATGATCATTAGATAACATTTATAATATAAATGCTGTTTATTGATTTCTAATTCTTTAAATCAAACTATAGACAAAGTACAACCAATAGTTACTGAAAATATATAGATGCTAAACTTTACCAAAATTAAAAAGTAATCATACCTAATAAAAGAATAATATGCAAATTGACCATCATTCCAAAAAACAAGATGGCTGCCCCCATGTGGACACAAGATGGCCAGCAGGGGAGGGCAGTTGGGAGGTACCAGGCCTGCAAGGGAGGGCAGTTGGGGGCAATCAAGCCTGCATGGGAGAGCAGTAGGGGTGACCAGGCTAGCAGAGGATGGGAGTTGGGGGCGACCGGGCCTGCAGGAAAGGGCAGTTGGGGGTGACCAGACCTGAAGGGGAGGGCAGTTAGGGTCAAACAGGCTGGCAGGGGAGCAATTAGGCATCAATCAGGCTGGCAGGGGAGTGGTTAGAGGCAATCAGGAAGGCAGGAAGGTGAGCAGTTGGGAGCCAGTAGTCCTAGATTGTGAGAGGGATCCCAGATTGGAGAGGGTACAGGCTGGGCTGAGGGACACACACCCCCGTGCATGAATTTTGTGCACCGGGACTCTACCTAATAAAAGAGTAACATGCTAATTGACTGTACCTTTGCAACTCCCACCAGCCAATCAGGAGTGAGGACGCAAATTAACCTAAGAAACATGGTGGGTTAATTTGCATACACTGGCACTGAGCGGCTGGGGGTGGGGCAGGATGCTGTGTCATTGCCATGGTGATGACGCAGGCATTCAGCACCACCCCAGCTGCTCTGGGCCTCTGGGCAGCGTGGGAAGGTAGAACGGTGGCTCCGAGCTGGAGTGGAAAGGCGGCTCCGGCCAGAGCAAAGGCGCTGCCGGCAGCCAGGGGAAGGAAGGTCCATTCTTGCACGAATCTTCATGCATCGAGCCTCTAGTATAATTAATAAAAATTGGAAGCCTCTAGTATAATTAATAAAAATGGAGGAAAGAAAAAGTATAATTTCCTCACCCTTCATAGCAGTAAGCCAATAAGTACTGTTTGAAATTACTAAATTAAAAAATAAATAAGTATATTATTTACTAGTTATTAAGGCCGATGAGCACAAGAATTAAAACAGAAACGTAGATCCTAGTCGGTGTGACTCAGTGGATAGAGTGTCAGCCTGTGGGCTGGGATTCCAGTCAAGGGCACATGCCCAGGTTGTGAGCTGGATCCCCAGTAGGGGGAGTGCGGGAGGCAGCCCATCAATGGTTCACTCTCATCATTGATATTTCTATCTCTCTTCCCCTCTTTTCCTCACTGAAATACATAAAAATATATTTAAAAAACAAAAAAATAAAACAGGATCTTAGAACAGCCAGTGTGGCTCAGGTTTTGAGCATTAGCTTATGAACCAGGAGGTCAGGGTTTGATTCCCAGGCAGGGCACATACCTGGTTGTGGGTTTGATCCCCGGTGTGGAGGGGGGGTGCATACAGGAGGCAGCTGATTGATGGCTTTATCTCATCATTGATGCTTCTAACTCCCTCTCTCCCTTCCTCTTTGAAATCAATAAAAATATATTAAAAAACAAAACCCCCAAATCAGGAACTTAACTGGGTTTGGGGAGTGCAATGGGGGAATGGAGGGTGTTAACAAAACAATTACTTTAAATTCTCTATTCTTCTGAATTGCTTTCATGTTTATGTATTAATTGAGTAATTTAAAATTGCTATCTACAAAAAAAATAAATATTTAAATTATATCTATTCAATAAAATATTTTACTATTGCTCTAAAAATTTAAGTGAGGTGGAACTATGTGTACTGATATGAATAGTACAAAATAACTGGGGAAAATGCAATCCACCGGCCAGTGTGGCTCAGTGGTTGAGCATCGACCTGTGAACTAGGATGTCACAGGTTTGTGTTTAAAAAAATATATATTTTATTGATTTTTTACAGAGAGGGAGAGAGAGAGAGACAGAGAGCTAGAAACATTGATGAGAGAGAAACATCGATCAGCTGCCTCCCGCACCCCCCCCCCCACTGGGGATGTGCCCACATCCAAGGCACATGCCCCTGACCGGAATCGAACCCGGGACCCCTCAGTCTGCAGGCAAATGCTCCATCCACTGACGCAAACCGGTTTCGGCTAGCATGCCATGGTTTGGTTCCCGGTCAGGACCCATGCCTGGATTGCGAGCTCAGTCCCCAGTGTGGGGCATGTAAGAGGCAGCCAATCAATGATTCTCTCTCATTATTGATGTTTCTATCTCTCTCCCCCTTACTCTCTGAAATCAGTAAAAATATACTGTTAAGAAATGCAAACCAGTCCACCCATGTAAAGAAGTATATGTAGCCCTGGCTGGTATGACTTCAATTAGTTGAGGGTAACCTTATACAACAAAATGCCACCAGTTCGATTCTAGGTCAGGACACAAGCCTGGGTTTCGGGCTTGGTCCCTAGTATTGGGTGCAGGAGGCAGCCAATCGATGTCTCTCTCTCTCTCTCTCTCTCTCTCTCTCTCTCTCATCAATAAAAACATAAAAAAAGAAGTGTGTATTTATCAAAAAGCCTAAGTGACCATTCAACCAGCCGGTAGCTACAACACACACAATGACCACCAGGGGGCAGACACTCAATGCACAGGCATGGAAACATGGAACAGACTGACGAATCTTGGAGGGAACGGGGGAGGGTGGGAAGAGATTAACCAAAGATCTTATATGCAGCCTAGAGGCCTGGTGGACAGATCCGTACACCGGTGGGGTCCATCAGCCCGGCCTGCACCCTCTCGCAATCTGGGACTCCTCAGGGGAAGTCAGAGAGCCGGTTTTGGCCCAATTCTCACAGGCCAGGCTGAGGGACCTCAGTGGTGCACCAGGCCTCTAGTATATGAATAAATATATAATATGTATCCATACAGGGGTCTTCAAACTATGGCCCGCGGGCCACATGCGGCCCGCAGAGGAGTCTGATCCGGCCCGCCAGGTTTTTTGGGCAGTGAGCGCAGCCGAGGTGTTACAGTAGGAATTAGTAGTTCATATAGTCCGGCCCTCCAGCTCTCTGAGGGACCGTGATCTGGCCCCCACTTTAAAAAGTTTGAGGACCCCTGTATGACATATATAAAGAAATATGTCAACAAGTATGTGTATGTCAGTTAAAACATGTCTGAAAAGATTTATTTACAGCTATGTCTATAGGTTTGGAAGTGGGATGGATTTTACTCTATATATACACACAAATGCCACCTAAATATAATAATAAAAGCAATAGATACAGTGGTAAAGATTTAGAAACATGACTATAATATACTATAAATTGAAAAAATAAAGTTGCAGATCAATATGTATATAGCACAATCCTATTTTTGTGAGTGAAAAATTCCAGGTGTGAAAACAGATCTGTGTAAGCTGAAGTCAAGAAGGGTTAAGTACCCACCAAAAAGTACCCAAAGAACTTTTCCACGGATACAGACAATAGGGTGGTGAAGGCCCGGGGCAGGTGGGGGAGTGGCGCAGGGGAGGGCTGGAAGGGGTCCATGGGGGTTAGGGGGAAAGGGGACATATGTAATACTTTCAACAATAATGATTTTTAAAAAAAGAAGGGCTAACTTAAGTACCAAATAGTAGACAAACATCAGATAATGATTACTTCTGTGATTTAAAGAGACAGAAAAGGGAAATTAAACTGGTACATTATGTAACCTAAAAAAGAAAGTCATGAGATTGTGTGATTTTTACTTTTCTTATAAAGAAAAATTACAAATAAATGAAACCCCACAAAAACAAGATTATGTTAATACCATGAAATCCTTGAAAAGGAAACTAACAACAGACATTTTTAGCTGTAAATCTAAAAGCAAGTTCTTCCTATCCACAAAATCAATGAGTCCTGTTCTTGTTATTAATACAAAACAGATGTGGCTTGCAAGTTCCTAACTAATTCACCAGAGGGCGCTCTTACCATAAGTAGGTCTGCCATCTCTGGCCACCTGCAACTAAGATGGCCTTCTGAAATACCTGTGCCCTCAGAATCTTGTGACACAGACAATTACCATTCCAAAGGACAGAACTTTAGCAAAGAATGTTTTGTCTGGCTGGTGTAGCTCAGTGGTTGAGGGTTGACTTATGAACCAGGAAATCACGGTTCGATTGGTCCCCGGTAGGGGTATGCAGGAGGCAGCTGATCAATGATTCTCTCTCATCATTGAAGCTGCTATCTCTCTCTCCCTCTCCCTTCCTCTCCATAAAAGCATGTGTTTTTAAGAATGCATTTTTTAAAAGCACAAGGATAAGGAGTTGTTTAGAAAGAGTCATACTTACATGTAAACACAATTCGCTGGGCACAGAAGTAATCACATTCAGGTCACTTTTGAACACTGATATGTTAGCAGGCTGACTGGCAGCCACATTGGACAGAACCTTAGGGCCCGTCTGCTGAGAACCGGGGGACTGCGCAGGACTGTCTTGAACTCCACAGTGGCTGATGGCTATGACTTCCGGCACAGGGCCCGGGAGCGGATCTTCAGCACAGGAAGAAAATGGAGAGTCGATGCTCTGCGTGTCCTTCTGGCTGTCAGGGTAGACGCTAGTCAGGCTGTGCTCCTGATAGAGCAAGTTTCTTAGTTTTTCATCCAGAGTTTTAATTCGGTTATCTGCAAACTCCATTTTGGGAGGTCTCTCCCCATCTGATTCCAGGATAGTAGCGGGTAGAAGGGGAGACGGTTCGTGGCCGGGGGTCTGAGTGGGGATGACCTTCTTAGGAGAACTTGCTTCAGTGTTCGCTGCGGTTTTCTCTCCTTCTTGGGAAATCAACTCTGCGTCCGTAGTTGCCTGCTGCACTGCTAAGGACTGAGGCCTTTGATCGGACAGCAATGCTGACGCTTCAAGAGAGTTACCAGCAACTGGAGTTGACTCGCCAGGAGGTGCCGTGAGGACATTAGCCTGACTGGCAGCTTGGTGACAGGGAAGCACAGGTAGGAATTTTCCTGCTTCGTTGGTGGGTCCCTCACATTTCATGGGGACTGCAGGAACTGAAGAAGCAGTGTAAGTAGAACTACTTACAACTGGTGCCATTCTATGGCTGTCCTCTTCCGCTTGATGGACTACAGCTGGCTGCTTCGTTTCTACACTGGCACATTCAGAGCTCTTACCGTCGACCACATCCTTGAGTTCTGAGGTTAAAAGTGCAGGCTGGCATGGATCATTTTCTGGAGTGAGCAGTGTGTCCTGTGACATTTCCTTATTATTTGTTTTCCTTGGACCTGGAACAATAACAAAGAATGGGTAAGCGTGTATTGGTGAGCACAAAGCATGGACTACTACGCAAACTCAAAGGGGACAGGCAGATCAAGGGGCAAACGAGAACGTGTGTGAAGGTACTTTTGTAAAAAGGACTCAGAATATACAATTCTACCTGTGAAGGAAAAGAAAACCTTTTCTTTTTTAAAAAAAAAATAAATATTCAATAAAAATGGCTTAAGTGTAACTGGTATTAACATCTTCCAAAATGATTATGAAAATTCTCACAAGCACGAAATTGCGCATGCAGACAAGTTAAAAATATGGTCCGGCCCCCTGGCCAGTGTGGCTCAGTTCACTGGGCGTCATCCTGTGCACCGAGAGGTTGCAGGTTTGATTCCTGGTCAGGGCACATGCCTGGGTTGCAGGCTCCATCCCCAGGAGGGGTTGTACGGGAGGCAGGTGATTGATGTTTCACTCTCACATTGAAGTTTCTCTCTCTCTCCCTCTCTCCGCCTCTCCCTTCCTCTCTCTCTAAAAAGCAAATTAAAAAACCTTAAAAAAAAAAAAAAGATACGGTTCATATGTTGCACCCCTATCCTCCGAGTCTGGATAAAGTTGGCAGAGAATAAATGCTTACTAGAAAGTGGATATAGCCCAGGCACTGTAGATATGGATTGCTGAAGAGAAGGAGGAGATTGAGCCTCACGGTTTCTTATCGTTTGATTGATACAGAATCGCCACCGACCAACTGGGGATGACTGAGGAGCGGATTCATCTGTGGAAAATTTAATATGCTAAGCAACTGTCAGCATGTTTACCTTACTGACTAAGGAAACCAGGTTAAATCACCAATTTTTCTTGTACCTCCATTTCCAACAACACTAGGATGTGCGCAATTTATGAGACCAGACCTTCTCGCAAATCCTGAAAAATACTCTCAAGAATTAAGAAGAATAGCCCGGCCCTGCCCTGGCTGGTTTGGCACAGTGGGTGAACCATGGGCCTTCAGACTGAAGGGTCCCGGGTTTGATTTTAGTCAAGGGCACATACCTCAGTTGCAGGCTAGATCTCCAGTCCTGGTCAGGATGTGTGTGGGAGGCAACCAATTTGTCCCTTTCACATCGATGTTTCTCTCTCTGTCTCTCCCCACTCCCGTCCACTCTCTCAAAAATCAATGGAAAAATATCCTCGGGTGAGGATTAACAACAACAAAAAAAGAATAGCACAGCCGGTGTGGCTCAGTTGGTTGAGCTTTGTGCCATGCACCAAGAGGTCATTTCCCGGTCAGGGCACATGCCTGGGTTGCAAACTCAATCCCTAGTAGGGGGTGGGCAGGAGGCAGCTGATGGATGTTTCTCTGTCATTCATAGTTCGATCTCCCTCTCCCTTCCTCTGTCTCTAAAATCAATAAAAACTTAAAAATTGTTTTAAAAAGAATTAAACATAAGATGACTTCAGAGAAAGATTTAAGATTCTTCTGAAACAAACATATCACTAGTAGTTAGAAGCCCAGCACTTTTTCTGGGGAGGAAGGAAGGAAGTACTTTTACCATTAAGGCCTACATTTCCTGTTCTGTATCCTGATTATGGTGCTTATAGAAATCTACGCTAAGTAATACAACTTCCAGGACTGGATACCAAAAGAAAAAGTCAATGTCACTGTATGACAATTTCAAAAAATAAAGTAAAATAAGCTCCTGCATCTTTACCCCTCCTTTGCCAACTTCCTGTAATAAGTAATTCTCTATTAAACGTTACCCTAGTGTGCCAGCCAAAAACCTGTTCGGACTCCTGCTAATGAGAAAAAGAAGCTGGAGAAGGACCCCGGCATTCCAACACAAGCTGAATTTCAGGGTAATGCTATCTGGTTCCATAACTCGCACACCACCTGTTGCTTCTTCGTGTCGTTATAATTCCTTCAGAGGTCCTCATTTGTCTATGGCTTTTCTCCCCTCCCAGAGACTCTAAATATACCCATGACCGGAGCTGAGAAGAATGGAGAGAGAAAATCTTCAGAGAAAACAGAGACCCACCCCCTCCCCCACTTAGTCCCTGGAAATTTATCTGGTACCCGATTTACAAAAACTTAGTGATCAGAGCAAGGAGAAGCTTATCATTAGTGGAATGAAATCATATCAATGACTATTAAAACACGAGGCAAATTTTGAACATAATGATTTTAGTTAAGAACGTTTATGCACACCTCACGTGGTGGGGGGGTGGAGGGGACGGACTTAGCAGTCAAGTTCAAATAATAAAACCGTTAAAGATCATCAGTACCATGACTGCTTTTCTGGTAGCATACCATACAGCAACTCAGAAATAAATGAACCAGATAAATCACCAACACTTGAAGGAAATTTGGAGAAAAGTTTTACTTCTTATTCTACTTTCTTCTGGGCTATCAAGTTCTTTCAGAGTGTGGGAAATCCTACATTAACAACTTATCTAATTCCTTTATTGGCTAACATCTTTCTCAGTGAAGATGTGTAAATTCAAGTCTCCAAATGTCTTGTTTCAAATGCCAACTGGCAAAGTGTATTAAATATACTTACTGCTGGTTTGAGTGGATGCAGAATTTATCTGTGCTGGTTCAGATGACCCTGTCTGAATTAAAAATGAATAGGTAAATAAAGAAGTTTCTGACGCATATCCTAGAAGACCTGTTTGCTAAATAATTGCTCTTACTTGGCCACTGTTGGGTTCTACGGCGACAGCGTCAACTCCACTGGCTCTGTCTGCAGCAGAGTGCACGTGAAGGATCTCCTGGGCTTGGCCGACAATAGCCCTCAATTCCTCGACAAATTTTTCTTTCTCACTATCCAGCACAAAGTTATCTTCGACCTGTCCAAAAGTAAAAGTAAGCCAATTACGAGAATGGATTTAATGTCTTCCAAATGATAATATTATGTCTATCAATGGTTACTACCCGGAAGAAAATTAAAATTTATTATTTACATCCAAATGCCGCAACAGAATTAACAAAGACCAGGTATTAAATTATTAGTTCTATTTTGAGACCACTATCATTTGTCAGGTTGGCATTACAGAGGAGAGAAGCAGCCAGCATTTGAAAAACTATCTGGCATTCTATAAATTGATTGTCATTTGAAGGATACAACTGAGGCAATGGCCACGAATTTATCTCTAAAGAAAACTGGCAGAAACAAAAACATGTGCACTCTTCCTGTCACCCTATCCCCGTGGTCGGCAAACTGTGGCTCGCAAGCCCCCCTTGCGGCTCTTTGGCCCCTTGAGTGTGGCTCTTCCACAAAATACCACGGCCTGGGAGAGTCTATTTTGAAGAAGTGGTGTTAGAAGAAGTTTAAGTTTAAAAATGTGGCTCTCAAAAGAAATCTCAATCGTTGTACTGTTGATATTTGGCTCTGTTGATTAATGAGTTTGCCGACCACTGCCTTAGCCCATCCCCATTTTTAAAAAATAGGTTTTTATTTTTATTAAAAAAATATTTTTTATTGATTTCAGAGAGGAAGGGAAAGGGAGAGAGAGATAGAAACATCAATAATGAGAGAGCATCATTGGTCAGCTGCCTTCTGCACATCTCCTATTGGGGATCGAGCCTGCAGGGGTGCATGTGCCCTGATCAGAATTAAACCCTGACCTCCTGTTCCATTGAGCCACAACCAGCCGGGCACACCCCCATTTTTAAAAAAGGGAAAAATATGCCCTCTACAGTGTGACACAGTGGAATGTCATGGCAAGCACTGAGAGTTTCCGGTTTGATTCCCAATCAGGGCACATATCCTGGTTGCGTGCAGGAGGCAGCTGATCAATGTTATGCTGTTTTTCTCTTCTCCCTTCCTCTCTCTTTAAAAACCAATAATTCATTCTTTTAAAAAATAATAAACAAACAAACAAACAAATGGGAAAATACTAACTTAAGCCTAACCATTCAAGAAAAATAAGAAAATTAAATGATGTAACAAACATTACTTAAACACTGAAATATAACATGTTATATCAATAGCTAACACATCAGAATTAACGGGTGAACTTTTTTTACTCATTTAAGCTGGGGACAGTGAAACAAGGAAGGGCTGGGGAAATGAGCCTAGACTGGGTTACTTAGGCTCACTAAAAAGTCAGGGAAAAGGGGACCTCAGGGACAGGCTCGGGGTGTCTGCCGGGGATGAGCCGCCACTGCCCATTGCTGCTCTGGTTGCAAACCTCATGGGGAACCTCATGGAGTTTAGGAGAGGCATGCCTGTGGGGAAAGAAGCTGGTGTGGGCAGGTTTTGTGTGCACAGGCATGCTCCTGGGAAGGAGATTAAATTCTGATGAACTTCATAAACTACTAGAGGCACAGTGAATGACATTTGTGCACTGGGGGGGGGGGGGGCACGGCGCCCTCAGCCCTGCCTGTGCCCTCTCACAGTCCAGGAGCCCTCGGGGGATGTCAGTCTGCTGGGTAAGGCCTGCTTCCTGGCAGGTGGATATCCCGGGCTTCTGGCTGAGCAGTGCTGACCACCAGGGGGCACTCAACACAGGAGCTGCCCCCTGGTAGTCAGTGTGCATCATAGAGTCCAGTCATTCTGCAGTTCAGTTAATTTGCATATTAGGGTTTTATTATATAGGATTGATGCTTAGGCCTCACCTCGAAACACTGATTTAATTAAGGACCTAGGGAATTGTTTTTTTTTAAAAAAAACCTCTTCAGCTAAAACTGGTTTGGCTCAGTGGTAGAGCGTCGGCCTGGGGACTGAGAGGTCCCAGGTTCGATTCCGGTCAAGGGCATGTACCTTGGTTGTGGGCACATCCCCGGTAGGGGGTGTGCAAGAGGCAGCTGATCGATGATTCTCTCTCATTGATCTTTCTAACTCTCTATCCCTCTCTCTTCCTCTCTGTAAAAAATCAATAAAATATATTTTAAAAAAAACAAAAACAAAAAAACAAAAAAACAAAAAAAAACCTCTTCAGGTGATTTTAACATGCAGCCCGGGATAAAGAACCATTGACCTAAAACATCTCTCAATGAAACACCTTCATATTTTGCAGATAAATAAACTGAAACCAGCCGAAGCCAGTTTGGCTCAGTGGTAGAGCATCGGTCTGCAGACTGAAAGGTCCCAGGTTCGATTCCGGTCAAGGGCATGTATATTGGTTGCAGGCACATCCCCGGGAGGGGGTGTGCAAGAGGCAGCTGGTCGATGTTTCTCTCTCATCAACATTTCTAGCTATCTCTCTCCCTTCCTCTCTGTAAAAAAAAATCAATAAAATATATTAAATAAATAAATAAATAAATAAACTGAAACCAGAGGAGGTGCACTGGCTCTCTCTTGATCATAACCAATTTAGCTCTGCACAAATTTTAAAAAAAGTATCCTAAGAACAAGATGACTCTGAATAAATGGGGGAAGAGTCACAGGAAGAAAAGAGAGAACACTGAAAGAAGAATCATTTGGTTTTACTGTACTTACCATATAGTCTGCAATATCCTCAGGTGCATCGCCATCAACATCAAACTTGAAGGTGACCATCTTGTTATTGTGTGTCTCCAGCTGACACTCTACCATGTTGTCTCCAGAGGTTGACACCTGGGCACAAACATTTCACTACCAGATTAAGAATCAACATAGTTAAAATGGCTATCTTACCCAGAGCAATATACAGATTTAATGTGATCTCCATCAAAATGTAAATGGCATTTTAAAAAATAATTATATATTTGCATATATGTATTGCTAATCCTCACCCAAGAGAAACATTGATGCGAGAGAGTCTCATTGATTGGTTGCCTCCCACATGTGGCCTAACCAAGGCTGTGGATCGAGCCTGCAACCAAGGTACATGCCCTTGACTAGACTGAACCCAGAAGCCTTCAGTCCATGGGCCAACACTCTACCTATTGAGCCAAAGTGGCTAGGGCAAGAAATATATATTTTTAAAGATTTTAAATTGATTTTTAGAGAGAGGGAGAGAGAGAAACATCGATTTGAGAAGGGACATCGGTGAGCTGTTTCCTGCACACCCCCTACAGAGGATCAAGCCCTCAACTCTGGCATATGCTCTGAGCAGGAATTGAACCGGTGACCTCTTGGTTCAAGGGTCAACACTCAAACCACTGACCCATCCCAGCCAGGTGAAAACAGAACTTTTATAACAAGGCAAAAACAGGTTATAATAGTCAGCATCACTATGTACAATGCAAAAACCTAAATTTGGTCATTGATTTGCAAAACTCTCTTTAAAAAATATTTTTAAATTGATTTCAGAGAGGAAGAGAGAGAGGGGGGAGGGGGGGAGGGAGGGAGGGGGGGGGAGAGAGAGAGAGAGAGAGAGAGAGAGAGAGAGAGAGAGAGAGAGAATATTAATGATGAGAGAGAATCCTTGATTGGCTGCATCCTGCACACTCCTTCCTGGAGATTGAACCTGCAACCCGGGAATGTGCCCTGGCCAGGAATAGAACTGTTGCTTCCTGGTTCATAGATTGACGTTCGACCACTGAGCAATGTTGGCGTGTACCTTGGTTGCAGGCACATCCCTGGTGGGGGGTGTATAGGAGGCAGCTGATCGATGTTTCTCTCTCATCGATATTTCTAGCGCTCTATCCCTCTCCCTTCCTCTCTGTAAAAATTAATATATATATATATATATGGCCGGATATAAAATTAAATATTTTTAATTTTTAATTATTAGCATCCATCCAAAACCTATACTTTATTGATTAGAGATATGGGATTAGTCTTATCTGGATTCAGGTCTGACTATGGCTTGCTGGTCGAATGACCTAGGGCAAATTACTAAACCTCTCTAATTCTCATTTGTAAAGATAAGTATAATACCAAATACCGTGTTTCCCCGAAAATAAGACATCCTCTGAAAATAAGACCTACTTATAGGTTTCCTTCTAAGTGAAATATAAGGCATCCCCCGAAAATAAGCCCCCCCTCCCCCCAGGCTAAACATGAGAGATTTGGTCCACTGATTCTGAAAGAAATGGAGTCACAAGAAATTCACCAGGAAATTCAGGAATTGGATTGTTATGATGATGTTCCAGAAGATGATGACATGATTGTCATTGAATAAATGAGTAAATTCTTGAAACTGTAGGATTCATAGTATGTCTGGTTTGTGTTGACAACTACCGTACTACCGTACCGTATTCAGGTAATAAGTTGCCTTTATTTTCATTTAACAATAAATGTGTACCGTATTCTTCTTCATGGAAAAATAAGACATCCCCTGAAAATAAGACCTAGCGCATCTTTGGGAGCAAAAATTAATATAAGACACTGTCTTATTTTCGGGGAAACAGGGTATCACATAGGATTATCAAAGGATTAAATGACAAAGTAAATATGTAACATTTGGAGTGTCTACCACAAAATCGTTCAACACATTTTCACTATTACTGGTATTATTACCATCTTAATGTAAAAGGTGATACATACATACATACATACAGAATAAAAGAGATGAAACAAACTAAAACATTAACAGGTATTATATAAGAGAGTACAAGTAATTTTTAAAAACACATATTTTTACTGATTTCACAGAGGAAGGGAGAGAGAGAGATAGAAACATCAGTGATGAGAGAGAATCATTGATCAGCTGCCTCCTGCACGCCCTCCACTGGGAATTGAGCTCCTAGCCCGGGCATGTGCCCTGATTGGGAATTGAATCTGGGACCCTTCACTCCACAGGCTGATGCTCTATCCACTGAGCAGAACCAGCGAGGGCACTACAAGTGGTTTTTTTATTTTCCTTATATTTCCCGTGTTTAACAATACATGATGCTCTCATTATTAAAAACTTTTAATGAAGGAAAGGTTAATTTAGAGGGTCTCACAATCCCACGCTTGCACAGTAACACTGCCCCTCCCTGACTCCCCAGGCCTCTATGCGCACGCAGCCCACCCGTGCTTACACACTGACCTGCAGGACAGTAAGCTGGAACTTGGTCCCCTTCTCTGGGCGAGGACAGGACACTCTTCTCTGTTTGGTCCGATCCTGTTTGCCATTTCCACTTGGGTTATCGGCGGTGTTGTTATCCTTCACAGCTGCCATGTCTTGCTGCGAACTAGTAATTAAAAGCACAAAAGCAACTTCTTTTTTAAAAAAATATATTTTATTGATTTTTTACAGAGAGGAAGGGAGAGAGAGAGAGAGAGTTAGAAACGTCGATGAGAGAGAATCATTGATCAGCTGCCTCTTGCACACCCCCTACTGGGGAAGTGCCCGCAACCAAGGTACATGCCCTTGACTGGAATTGAACCTAGGACCCTTCAGTCCGAAGGCCGACGCTCTATCTACTGAGCCAAACCGGTTTTGGCATAAACTACAATATTTAAAGAGAGTCTAGAGTCTCCTGAAATAATATCCAAAGGTCCAGAAGACAAATGAAAATTCTCTGTCATACCAAAAACCTGGAAAAATCACACTTTGAATGCAGAAAGACAGTTAACAGACACCAGCACCAGAATGAATAAGATATTGGAAGTAACTGACAAGGATTTTAAAGCAAAATTATTCAATAAGTAATTACAAATACTCTTGAAGCACATTAAAAAATTTAAAGATCTCATTAAAAATAGAAGATATTAAAAAAGATCAAAATGGAAATTATAGAACTATAAGTACAACCACAGAAAAACAATGCATTGGAATGGGCATAATAGCAGAATGAATAGGACAAAAGAAAGACTCAGTGAACTTGAAAACAGAGTAATAGGAATTATCCAATCTGAATAACACAGTAAAACATTAGTTTACAGCTACCAAATAATAGCACAATTATCTATCTCATTATAATTTATTTCTTTACATTAGTTGGAATTTTACTCTATACTATTTCTTTTCTTTATTAGTTCTTCTAAGTTTTTCTTAGAAACAGAAATGTTATGAGAGCAAGAAAATGGTCAATAATTTCACAATACATGAGTTTCATTAAAGTAAAAAAGTAAAAAACAATACCTACCATTTGTATTGAACGTACACATAAATTCAAGAACACAAAATTTCCTCCAGTCATGCTACAATGGGCCCTTAATGACTGCAAATATTTCAACATACCCTTATCATTTCCATGGTATTAAATTTGAAGAAACTCACCTTCGTAGTAAATCCGATTGTAGAATTGCTGCTTGTTGTTCAGCTGCAACTGGTTGGGATACAGGCTGTGAATAGTATAGAAACAACACTTAGGTTAACAGCAAACTTCAGGCTAAGGATGAAATTTGGTGTTATTTCAGAAAACATACATGTTATATTCCACATTTTGGTTAATTCAATAACCAGGAAGAACATCTACACTTTTGTATGTTTACCTCACATTTAAGAAAATCTGTATTTTATTGATTTCAGAGTAGAATGGAGATGGAGACAGAGATGGAAACTTCAATGATGAGAGAGAATCATCAATAGGCTGCCTCCTGCACGCCCCCTACTGGGGAATAAGCCCAAAACCAGGGCATGTTCCCTGACCAGGAATTGAACAGTGACCTCCTGGTTCATAGGTTGATGCTCAACCACTGAGCCATGCCGGTTGAGTCAGAATATATTTCTTTATAGTTAATAAAAGGATTGATTGCTTTAAGAGATGGGGAGAAAGACATCAATTTGTTGTTCTACCTATTTATGTATTCACTGGTTGATTCTTGTATGTGCCCTGACTAGGGACCAAACCCACAACTACCGTATTGGGACAACTAACCAACTGGCCAGGGCTGCACAAAATATCTTGTAGAAGGAAAGAAAAGGTTGCAATCTGATACTTTTTCTACCCAACTTATATTGCATTTACGAATGTCAGTGAAAGGTAAGTTTCACATACCCAAAGGATCAAAAATAGCACACCAAAATAACCTTGAAAAATTACACAAACCCATTTTCCTAACTACAGAGGCACTTAGCAAAATTTCAGCATCCAGGATAGTTAGGTTGTGGTATAAAAACCGGTTCTGCGTCCTAACACTAGCAATCAGTATTAAGTCCAAGTGATTAAAACTGCGTTTCAAAATTGTACACATAAAAGCGGAAAATGTAAAATGTATGGTATGATAAAATAAAAAATACCGTTCGTACTATCCCCCAGAAATAATAGTTTGCCTTTTCCTTAAGTACTTTATATAGCAGTAATCCACAGGTAATCTTTCTCTTATCTCCTTCCACCCATCAGCCAAATTGAAGATTTCAGCTGTGCTATTTTACAGGTTGGTTCCTTCCATTGAGAATGAGACCAACTAGACAGGTCCTCATTCTTTCAACATGTTCCATGCATCACCTAATTTACATTCAAAGGGGAGAAGGCTGAATAATGTCCCCGCAAATCAATCCAAATGACGAATGTCCTTGGACATTATGAAGCTATACAAAGCGGTGTGTGCCTTTTGCGAACATTTTTTTTTGACAATGTTCAGGAAACACACCCACTACTTAGACCAATTTCCCTTCAATTACAGTACAGCAATTTCACATAAAACCACTATTGTGCTAAGTAGCATTTTTACATAAATGGTTTAATGCCCTGAAAGCCAGAATCACTCTTTCTAAAGAAACCAGTCATAACTTTCTCAATTTTTACACAAAGGATTTTCATTTAATGGAATTAGCGGCATTATAAAGGAAGTTACGGTGAAGATGAAATGAGGTGGCTTGCTTGGTTCTCGGGGTCAGTCCACTGACTGTAAGATTTACTCCGTTAGAATGCTTCCGAAAAATGGACTCACGTTACAGTGAAACCTTCCTTACCAGAATAAACTTGATTGTTTTAATCATACTCATGCCTAGTAAGCCCACAGGTGTTTCTCAATAAACTGAACTTGCAGATTCTCTGGCCAACTGATAACAGCATTATAAACATCAACAACACTTCATCTATTCTTCATATAGCTTCTGTACTGTCTTAAAAGCAGTGGACGAGCCCTGGCAGGTTTGGCTCAGTGGATAGAGCGTCAGCCTGAGGCCTTAAAGGTCCAGGATTCGATTCCAGTCAAAGGCATATTACCTCGGTTGCAGGCTTGATCCCCAGCCCTAGTTGGGGCGCATGCAGGAGGCAACCAAACCACGTGCCCCTCTCATCATTGATGTTTGTATCTCTCTCCCTCTCCCTTTCTCTCTGAAAGCAATATATTAAAAAACCCACAAAAACCCCCACACAGAACAATAGAGATGTAACGAGAGACAAAGTAAACATCTAAAAGGCACTGTTATCTTCAGTAACCACCTTTCCATGTTAGAATTATTGTAAAATCACCAAGTCTGAAGTGTAAAGATAGTGTGTACTTCAGTGATTAAGAAAGTGGAGCCGCCCGGCTGGTGTGGCTCAGTGGTTGAGTGTCGTTGACCCATGAACCAGGAGGTCCCGTTTTATTCCCAGACAGGGCGCTCTCCAGGGTTGTGAGCTTGATCCCCAGTGGGGGGCGTGCAGGAGGCAGCCGATTGATGTTGCTCTCTCATTGATGTTTCTATCTCTCTATCCTTCTCCCTTCCTCTCTCTCTAATAAAAACACATTTATAAAAAAGAAAGCAGAGTTGAAAATTATTCCACTGAGATCAGCTAGGAAACAGTAGAAAAATAGGAATTGCTAAGAACCACAATCTCCAGAGTGATTTTATATATAGACAACTCAGATATGCTAATATATAGATTTATCTGTGAAAACAGTTAATGCATGATAATATTTTATTGATTCCTGATACATCCAAAGTCTGCAATCTGGTCAGTTCTGTCACTGCTTCTAAAGACGGATCAACAAAAACCCCTTCTTCTTGTTGTCAATACCAAACATTAACAACAACAAAAAGTCACCTTTCTCTTATAATGTTAATCCGCATTATTCATGCAGATAAAAAATTCTAAGAGACTAAATCAACATGATAACAAGGAATATATATAAACCCACTCTAATACTACAGTAAACTAAAAGAGAGTGCCATTCACAAATCATAAATGGTGGAGAATTTCCGAAGGAACAGAAACCAATGGATTACATCCATAGGGAAACAAAAATCTATGTAAAAAAACATAAGTTTAGAAAAATATAAGCACCAAATTCAACAAAGAGGTGAGTTCTTTAGAACAAGAATTTCAAGTAGGTACTTAATGCTGTTTGGCAATCTTACTACTGTTCATTCTCCTAGAAAACTATTGTATAGCTCTGCCTCTTTCTTCCAACTTTTCTTTGTAAAATATATTTTATTGATTTCAGAGAGGAAGGGAGAGGGAGAGAGAGAGATGGAAACATCAATGATGAGAGAGAATCACTGATCAGCTGCCTCCTGCATGTCCCACACTGGGAGATCCAGCTGGCAACCCAGGCATTTGCCATGACTGGGAATTGAACCATGACCTCCTGGCTCATAGGTCTAAGCTCAAACACTGACCAGGCCACCTGGGCTTTCCTCAAACTTTTAATGCCCACTTCCTTCCCAAACTCATGCTCAGATTATGGCTCTCTATCTATTTCTACGAGAAAATTAAAAAAAACCTACAAGAGCATGTCCATAAGCTCCCACTACGAGATCTGCTCACCTCACAGCATTTGTGACCATATTCTCTGCCTTTGCCTTTATTATGGAAAAAAACCTGTCTGGGCTTCTATGCTAAGGCCACCCCCTCTAGAAACTAAATTTTAGCTCCTCTCACCTTCTCAAGGACATCATTCCAGTAATTCTCCTATCTCACCATATTTCCCCCACGCTCCTAAATCATTCCTTTTATAAACATGAGATCGTATCTCTATTAAAACAATTCTTCTCCACCAAGGCCTGTTGAGATATGACCGATTGGGAAGCTGGGGCAGTGACGAATAGGATGTGCCTGGTACATCTTGTTGTGTAAAAGATAAGTTCAAAGAATGATGGGGACATGTCAAAAGGACAAAGGCACCAGCTTGAAGAGGATCCACTAGCGAAATCTGAGATAGATGGTGCATCAAAATAAACAAACTCATAATCATTTAAAAAAAACCACAAAACAACAACTTGTATTTAAGCGGAAACCAAAGCAAAAAATTTAAATTTCTTATCAATAAAGATAAAGTAAATAGAACACGAGTATTGGTATAAGAATGGATAAAAGTCAAAGGAACAATACAGACAGTTGAGATATGACCCAAGAATGTATAGTAACTTCAGCTATGATAGAGATGGCATTTCAGATCAGTGTGGAACTGATGGGCTGTTTAATAAAAATGTCGGGGTAAAATGTCTAATAACTTTGAAAAAACACAGCTAGATCTCTACCCCACTCAGCCCACAAAAAAACAAAAACAAAATCCAAATAGAATATAGAGCTAAACAAAGGCAAAATATTTTCAGTATCAGAAGAAAATACAGAAGAATATTTTATGCTCATGAGCCTTCCTAAGCAAAATGCAAATCCATAAGCAAAAAAAAAAAAAAAAAAGGGTGTGTGTGTGTGAATCGATTTGATTGTATAAAGGATAAATGCTTCTGTATGACAAAGGATTCTATAAGCAAATTAGGGACACAATTAGAGAAAGTAATTGTGATATAATTAACAAAGGATTAGTAAAGAAATCAAAGAGAAAAAGAGGAAGACATCAATAGACAAATGGACAAAAAGATATGAATGGCATTTACAAAGAATAACAAGTATTCAATAAACATAGGAAGAAGTAAAACTGCTGGGGCAAGGGCTGGGTGGAGGTGGGCAAATGAGGGCGGGGATGTAAGCACCTGTAATAGTGTCAACAGTAAAAAAGGATAAAAAAGTAAGCAACTACTGATACACATAACCTGAATGGATCTCAAGTCAATCTCAAAAGTTTATATATTGTATGATTCTATTTATATAATACTAGAGGCCCGGTGCATGGATTTGTGCATTGGTGGAGTGCACTGGGCCTCTGCAGGGATCAGGCTGAAACCGGCTCTCTGACATCCCCTGAGGGGTTCCAAATTGTGAGAGGGTGCAAGCCAGGCTGAGGGACCCTACAGGTGCTGGGAAGGGACTGTAGGAGGGCTCCAGGGCGTGTCTGGCCCTTCTCACACAGACCCAATCCACTAGACGAGTGGTCGAAAACTGCGGTTAGCCGCTCTGTTGCCTAATGAGTTTAACGACCATTGGACTAGACTAAATGTTACCATGTAGTTGGAAGCTGTGAAGATTAGGCAATTGCAGCATATTGTGTGCAAAGAGGTAAAGGGTAGT